GCGTGTGGTCGAGCAGAACTTTAAAAGCCTGAGTATGATGACTCTGAGAAAACTCCACTCCCACAGGCCATAAATAACTCATCCAACAACACACACACACACACACACACACACAGACACACACACAAACACACAGACACACACACATACACACAAACAAAGATGGCGTCGTCCCTCCAACCCAGCCTGGAAACAAAGCTGACATCGCTCAAACCTGCACTTCCTGCAGCGACCAGCAGAGGCTCCACTCCCACTAACATGAGTTTGTTACACAAACAGCTGATTTCCTGCTTCAGTGAACAAACGTGATTCAGCAGATTTCTCACTTTTGTTGAGTTTTGCACTTTAAAATCGTCACGTTTCGAGTTCTTTGTTTGAAAATAAAATAATTACAAACTCCTCGAACAATAAAATGTCTTTGATGTCGCTTCAGTCTGACCATCATCATCTAGCGACCTAGAAGTCTGAACGAACACGTTAAACCAACATGGCGTCCTCACATAAAGGATAAAACATGTCGGCGTCTCGGGTGAAGCTCCAGCAGCTGCTGCAGGTTTGAGTCCTGTGACTGTTTGTGATGACAGCGACAGTCGAGCCATCGAAGAGAGAGCGAGGGTGGAGCAGGATGGGTGGAGCATCCAGGGGTTTGATATAAACGCTCCTGCAGCTGCCCCGAGGCCGCTCCTGCATTATTTAATAGTGCAACTCTATTAGTCGGCTTGGTCTAAACGCTGGAGGACAGAGGAACGACGAGGAGGCATGAGGTAATCTGTGAGGGCGTACCATCTGTTATTTTATTATGATGAGACAGAGAGAAGGAAAGGAGGAGGTGGGGAAGGACAGGAGCTTCTCTTTTTATGTAAGGAAATCATGAGCTATACAAGGATGAAGAAACAGAGATGGAGGAATCAAGAGTGCATGGAAGGAAACCACAAGGACAGATGGAAAGGAGGAGGTAAACAAAGAAGTAAACGAGGAAAGAAGGAAGCAAAAAGGATGCATGAATGAAAGGAATGTGACATACATGAAGGAGGGATAGAAGGACACTGCAAGGAAAAGAAGGTTTGGAAGGATATAAGGACAAACGCAAGGAAAGGACAAAGGGAAGGAGGTATAGAACAAAATGAGGAGAAAGTGTTGAAGGAATTCAACTATTAAAAAAACTAGGAAACGAGGAAGCAATGAAAGAAGGTGGAAAAGAAGGGGGAAAAGGACACATGTCTGAAAGGACCCAAGGGAGCATAGGAGGAAATAACAACAGAATCAGGAAAGTGTGCAAGGGAAGGGAATATGGAAGCAATATGAAGGAAATGAGTACACAGGAATGTATTTAAGGGCATAAGGAAGTATGAAAGGAAATAAAAATAATCCCAAAAAGATATTTAATGAAGTAAAGAAAACATATAGGGAAGGAAAGAAGGACACATGAATGAAACTAGAACAAGGTCTAAAGAAAACAAGGACAAACACAAGGAAAGGACAGGAAGGAAACATAGAAGGAAGCAACTAATTTGAGCTGGAAGGAAGGGATAGAAGGACACAAGGCAATGAAGCAAGAAGACTCCAGGGAAGGAAGGAAGAAGGAAAGGAAACACAGAAGTGGACAAGGAAGTATGAAAAGGAAGAAGTATGCAGGGAGTGAAAGAAGGAAACATAAAAGGAAATAAGGACAAAAAGTATTTAAGGACAGAAGGAGGTGTGAAAGGAAATAAAGGCACATGAATGAAAACAGAATCAGAGCAAGGAAACAAGGAAACAAGGACGAAGAGAAGGAAAGTAGAAAAACAAAACAAGGATGTATAAAAGTAAAGAAGGGAATGTGGAAGGAAACAAGGAGACACAAAAGGAAACAGCAACAGAAAAGAAGGAGGCGAGAGATCGAGGTCTGAGGAGAAGGAAGGATGAAACACAGAGGGGTAAAATTAGAGGAGGTCTGAAGAGGAGGTCTGAGGTGGGGAGGTCGGAGGCGAGAGGAGGTGTGAGGGGAGGAGGTGTGAGGGGAGGAGGTGTG